CGTGTGAAATTACTTGATAATATGCCAAATAAATGGAATGACAAATACAAACCAAATATTTGCCATGGCAATGTTTGGTCAAATATATTTGGCCATTACACCGTGGTCAAATATATTGATGTCAGCTTAAGTATAGTTCCTAGTTAGTTCGCAGGAGGTTCTTAAGCTAATTCAAAGGAATTTCTGAGGATAATTCCAATCTAGTTCTGAAGAAAATTCTAAGCAAATTCTGTGGGTAGTTTCAAAGGTATTTCGAGAAGAATTCTTTGATAATTCAGAGGAGTATTCAAAAAGTGAATATTGAGTAGAATCTCAGGAAGTTTCTGGGAGCGTTCCTAGGGAACTATGAGGGGATTTCAAATAAATTCGATGTGTAGTTGCATGGGATAGTAATATTGGTTGAATATTTAGGGATAGGATAATTTCAAGGGTACGTATTGTGGGGAGAATTTCAGCTGAATTTAAAGGATAACTTCATTGAAGTTCTGAAACGAATAATCATGGTTCAGAGTAGAATTTTGACAAAGGAATCGTTACGAGAATTCTAAGAAAAATCCCAAGGTCTCTGGAAAGAACTTAAAGAAAATTCTGTAGCACGGATTCCATAGCAATTATTTTGGATACTTTTGTCGAACTAAGAGACGAACCAGCCCACGGCTGGAAGTCTCGATAATAAAGAAAACTAAACCTAACTTTTGTCGAACTCATCTACATTCTAAACAAAATGAGCTGGAAATCTGCATAAGTTTATTAATATTTGGTTATGCAAAATTGTGTATGCGAGATGCACAGTTAGCTAACCCTGTCGTCATATTTATTCTTAGCTATTCATAAGGTGACGCTTAAAATAGGCTACAGTGGACAACGAAAATAATTAAATATTATGTGATCAGATCCGCTATAGCGAAATAACGAAAAGACGCGCTGAGAAAAAAAAATCACCCCATGCATATCTCATTAGACTCTTAACCGACTGCCGGCGTCGATGTTGGAAGTAGATAGGTACATATGATTCTGTTTCATCTAATTCCTTTTTCCTGCTTCTTAGTTTGCATATATCTACAGCATCCCTTGCTTACGTTATCCATTTCGGAGGAACAGTGCAATGACATGCTCCCGTTTGAGCATCCTGAGTGGACTGCGCTTCCAGCCGTGCGCACGTCGTGTCACACCTTAAACAACTGCTTCCACTCACTATACCTAGATCTTGTCACTCGCGCCACACTCTTTTTATCTTTTTTTTTCATTTCTCCCACAACTGTTTCGTGGAGAAACATCTTTGCTGGGGGTTCTTCCCCGTCCGTCGGATGCATTTCCCTACGTCATCGTTGTCGTCGTCATGCCATTTTCCGTTTCTTATAATATCCGACGCCAGTTGGTTCTGACTATTTCATTGGAGCAATAAAATAAAACCTCGAGCTCTGTATATGTACAAACGTACGTATATGTACTTATGAGCTCTTATGGGATGCGTTTGCTACCATCAATTGCAATGTTACTTAGGAATGAAACTAATTTTAACTTCATGCATGTGTTCGACTTTGTACTTACGCGATGTACGACTGTAAATTAATTATTTTAAAATATCAACTTAGTTTACTGCACAAAAGTATATCATTACTGGGCTAGAGTTTTTAGCATGCAATTTACATCCTTAAATTGATAATCCACCTCCGGTGAGATTCAAATCTATCGTAAATATACTAGGAGGCTGTCAATAAAGTAAGTGAACTGTTTTTATTAATAGGGTGGGGCTTAGAAAGTATCTTTTGTGCCGAAAAAATAATAGGAGGTTAAAAGGAGGGACTTCGGATATTAATCTAAGTGCATAAATAAGGGTTCCAACAACTTTTTCAGTGCCAGGTACGTTATTCTGAAGCTTGTGAGAGGGAAATAAAAAATCGTGTGTCATCAAAATACATGGGCAAATAGGCAGACAGGTTAAGTTATACTGATTTATGGATACTTTCACCAAAGATTCAAAGCTTCACCGGCTGGAGAGGGAATCGCTGATTACTGAACGACGGGTGACGAAGCTATCAACTACGAATCAATTGAAAGTTTCAACCCTATTCTAACTAGGATCAAAGGTTTACCAAAAATTCACAAACCAGGAAAAGAAATGAGGGAGATTATCTCGGCTGAAGGATCCCCCACTCATAAGCTTGCCAAATGGCTAGTAAAGGAATTTAAAAATATGCCTAAACCCTTTTACACTCGCTCAGTTAACAGCACACAGGAATTCGCAAGTCAGCTTCAGGCATCAGGAGAGATTCGGGAAGATGAAGTCATGGTTTCATTTGATGTCACAGCACTTTTTCCGAGTGTACCAGTAAAGGAAGCCATCAGCCTTTTAGAGGACTGGCTTCTGAAGCAACGTGAGAATTCTACTTGGAAAAACAAAGTTCGGTCATATCTCAAGCTTTTTTTTTTTTCCTCTGTTCGGGACATAACACCACTGCGACCAGTAATTTGATCTATTGTAGTATATCCCGTGTCCTTAGTTTAGTGCATGTCGTATTACTCCATCACTATTGAGAAATGATGAAGTATTCGGTTTTGATACAGTTGTCATTCTTGCCTTCATCGCAAGGAATCGATTCTAACTGAAAGGTTCCGCTATTTATACCCTTCGGAGTTGGAACACCCTCCAAAGGCGCGCCCCTTTGTCAGTCAGTCTCAAGCTTACTCGTCTATGTATGGAGGAAAATTATTTCATTTTCAGAGGAAATTTCTATAAACAAACTAAAGGCGCTCCTATGGGCAATCCGCTTTCTCCATTTTGATGTGAATTGTTCATGGCTAACCTAGAAAATACTCTGGAGGATAGGAATTTGTTGCCCAAATGTTGGTATAGGTACGTGGATGACATCTTTAGCATTGTCAAAACGGAGGCCATAAGCAACGTTCACAAGGACATCAAATTTACTCACGAAGAAGAGAAAGACGGCAAACTCCCCTTCTTAGATCTTCTCATCATCAGGGAAACGTCTTCGTTAAATTTCGAAATCTATAGGAAACCAACAAACACAAAGAGAGTAATACCAAGCACTTCCAACCATTCCCATCAACACAAAATGGCCGCTTTTCACCACATGGTTCACAGGATGCAAACTCTTCCTCTTAGCGATACAAGAATCAAAGGAAATAGCTCACATTTTTGAAATCGCTAGACTTAATGGGTATCAAGAAAAAACTATTCAAGCAGTAATCGATAAAAGAACAAGGGATCATTTTAGGCGTATTTCGACAACTCTTACACCAGTAACTGAGGTGAATTTCGATAAAAACATTACCAAACCATTGATTTCAAAGTTTAGAAGTTTTGGCCTAGATTTAGTATTCAGCAGTAGGACAAATCAGCTGAAGTCACTGTTAGGATCAACTAAAGATTCAATAAATGTCTTAGGGAAAGCCGGAGTCTACAAAATCTCTTGTCCAGATTGCAATAAAATCTACATTGGTCAGACGAAAAGGACTTTGGAAACAAGGTTTAAGGAACACATAGCAGAGGTAAAAAAGGCTAACAAAGAGATGGATAAAGGACTTCATTATGAATTTAAATCCAAGGTTGCAGAACATATCGTTACAAAGGGGCACAATTTGACTAAGAAAAACATTAATATCCTGCGGACTGTATCTTCGCCTTGGAAACTAGACGTAGCTGAAAGTTTAGAAATATTTAAACATAATCCATCAACATTGATCAAGGAAACGGATACTCGAGACTTTTTAGCATGCTACCTAAAACAACACATCGTAGCATGCCTGAAGACTGAATTTAGGTACCTGGTTAGGTAAATTTTGACATGGCAGTGGATACCTGCTGATTTTTAGTACCTATTGAAACAATATAACTTGTAGATAAAAGATGGATTCTTCAGTGGTGTTGAGTACTTGGCATTGATGAAGTCTGCAAGTAGTAGACGAAATACGCGTATCTGTCAAAAGATAAGCAATAACGGAATTTAAAGGAAATAAACCAACCCACTCAAAGCTCTTCATAAAGGGATTCCGTTAAGAGATTCGACAAATTAAAAGGACGACCACGAAGCTTAATAAAAAAAATTAAGAGTCATTCCGCGCCAAGTGTCCGAGGCATGTGAAATTTACCTCTTCAGATTTGGACCATATTTGAGGAGATGTTTATTTTGGTCTAACTTTTATGAATCCAAATTTATGTGCCGATCGAAGCACTCCTTGGTACAGGAGAGAATTTTCTATTTTTCGTGATTTTCAAGAAAGTACCACCGTAAAACGGGGTAACATTGATGATTTTTTAAAGTATATTCTAAATATGTCTTGCAGCTATGAATATTTTTCAAATGTTATATTTTTAAAACAAGTATGGAGGATCCAAGAGTTAATTCGTTAGTAATTTGTTTAGCGAGAATTAAAGCATTTGCACTATTTTTTTTAGTTTTGTGACCGAACACCAGTATTTTGATTTGGGGTTACTTTGATAATGCTCGATGAATGTAGAAAAAAAATGAGTGAAACTCAAACATTTAAGTTCTTTCAATATGAAACTTTGAGTGATTAAATAATCAGAAAACATCATAGGCAATACGAATACAACATTGAATTTGTGATGACTATATCAGAAATACATTTCATAAGTGATGGTTTCAGTGCTTTTTCAAACAGACGAAAAATACGAAAATGGTTTTTTAATATGTTTGTAAAATATGTAACACGATATATACGATATCAACGGAAACAGCCTAAACTACAAACAGTTGTTTCTAATTTATAAAAAGCACAGCGAGTTAATTTAAATTAGCTATAAAAGTTAACCGCATTATCAAAGATACCGCGTTTTACGGTACTTTCTTTTACCAATATCTTTTACCAGCCATGACAAGTACAGCCACCCCACCCTATTTTTTTAAATTTGAGTATTAAAATCCATATCTGTAGATGTTCCATTTAATCACATCCGCAACAAAACTAAAGAAGCTTGAAATTTGTAACCATTCTTTATTTCTATCAAATTCCAGATAATAAAAACATCAGCATGGACGACTCAATGGAAAAACTCCTGAATGATTCAATGATTTCCACCATGTCGACCAATACCGACGAGCTGGGAACGTCTGGGGTGGATAATCTAAACTACACACCCAGCAATCCGGACAACCCAGAGTACGCTACAATTAATAAGGATAGGGTAGTACCTGATTTCCTCATCGGAGCATGCAGTCGACCGGCTGTATCCAGAACCACTAGACCCGTATCCATGTACGAACCATGGGTTGAAACCAATACATTTTCCTCTCTTCCGGTAGATGCAATGCGTGTAAAACCGGTGAAAATGATTGATATTGATTTCGAATCGGAGTTATCCTCCCAGAAAGTTTGCTGGGAGGCTGAGGACGCCGACGATTTCATCACAACTTTGGATGAGTCTGCCATTCTGGACATTGTGTCTTGCGAAGATATCAGTCAGAGCTATGCACAACCGAACCATAAATTGATAGTCGCAGCTGATATACATCATCGCGCGGCCCTAGATGACAGGAAGTACGAGGATATTGGAATTTACGCTACAGTGAAGAAGAAACCCCGTGACAAAACAGGGAACCAACATCACTTGGTAGACTGTCAAGTGATGATTACATCCGGCGGACCGATGGAGAAACTTCCTAAAATTATGACAACTTCTTGCTATGGTGAATTGAATATGATGACCTTAATGAACACGAGTAGCACGTGGAATGATCCCAGTTTGATAGTAAAAAGCAATGAAAATTTATTGGATACACGTCCTTTCTCGATTAGTAATAATAATTCGATGAACAACTCCATTGTGGATGGGTTTTCCTCAATGGCCAGTTCAATTTACGAACCCAACTCAATGAATTCATCGATCGAAGTGGTGAAATATTCTACTAATGAAAAAACGCGTGTCAAGTGGTGGGACGAGTTTACCGAAGAAACAGAAGCCGAGTTGAAGGAAATCGCTGACAAAGGTGAGTTTTTTGGAGCAGTATTTTGCAAACACATTTGCCAACTTTTAGCGAAATCAAATTCCTATAAACCGACTTAAGTTCTTGAATAATGGAAATTTTATGATTACGACCAGCAGCCAAAAAAGACCAAACGAGTCCATCACGATACAATTATCGGTTCTCTCAAACATGCCAGGCTGGCGCCATTAGTTGCTTAATCGGATTTGCATGACTTTAACAAGAAACCAACTTCTTGTGTCAAAATGAGATTGGAAAACATGTTTGCTAATTAGAAACCTGTGACCTATGCAAATGGGGAAGAAGCACCCCGGAAAGGGCGGGTAAATGGAATAAATGCCATAGCGCGCGATGGCACTTGATTTATGTCTGAATTGAGCAATCGTTCCATTGGGAAGCTATTGCAAATGCAGCGCTACAAGAGGCGCGTCGTCCAAAGTCACGATCAACATGCACTTACAGAGGTTTTTTAAGAGGGAATAAAAATGAATTCGTATAAAACCTCTTCTTTGAGTAGATCAAATGCATCGAGTAAACGAGCAGACGGTTTTACGAGTTCAATAAACTATGTCAAGCGAGATGGGTGCCAATGCAGCGCATTTTGAGAAATCAAGTGTCTAAAAATATCGATGGTTTGCTTTTTGGCAGACAAAGCGTATTCATTACCATCGCGGTCAGTAGAAGAACCATGCTTCAAAAGGAATGTTTGGTTTGAGAGGGGTTGAAACGAAGAACGTGGGAAATTAATGTTTGCATGTGCATAGATACTTAACTCCAGTTATTGACCTTCCAAAAGCCACGCTAGTTAAAAAAAACTACGGAAAAATACACGTTTTGATAATATACGATAAAGAAATGTAAATTTCATTATATACGGGTTTTAGATGTATTCCAAAATCTGCTCTTCCTCTTTTTGGTAGTAAAAAACCATTTAATAAAAAGTTGAAAGTAAATTCGTGTTTTAATACAAGTTCAATTTCGTGCTCCGTACACCAGCGCGTCTGTTCATTAGGGTGTTCCAAGTAAAAAAAATAAATAAAAGAAAGGAGTGTGCTAGACACGACCGCAGTATGACGTAGAACTACGCAAAATTGACTATAAAATGTATTTCAATGTTTTGGTTATGGTTCAAATCTCGCGACAATTCATGTTAGCATAATCAGACCACCGTTCATTTTACGCATAAGATAATGACTGAATTTTCCCTACATAACTACATTGGGTTGATTAATGTTGAGCTATTTTGCTGTGATCAATGTGCACTAAATGCGACATCGACATCGACTACAATAAGAACCGACACTAGTTTGTCAAACATTGATTTGCACCTCAGTAAAGTACACAAAAACGCCATGCATGTTGTGGGATAAAACAATTCCAAAAAAAAAAAACTTAATTTTTTTCAGTAGCTTTATCATTAGTTTTAAGTTGGGTCTCTGAAGCAGAGAAGAGAGTGAAGGTTGAATTTTATGATAACGCCACAGGCAGCTGTTTTCCTTATCAGAAGACGGTACTTTCAATATTGAACAAAATGTTGGTTCATATGTCAGCGAAGTAGGGGAGGAAGGGGTATTCGTTATATGCGGGGTTTAAGCACATCCTTGTTTTCCTATTTGGAGGACAACCCTAATATAAAATTATCATGCATGTAGTTAATACAGCGTTCGTAGATTGATGCAAAATAGAATACTGTGACTTTTCTCAAATCAAATGTTGGGTTTCCAATAAGTAGGTGCTTAGTACAACATTAATTGAAAATTAGGGGGATTCAATTATTGAATTTCAAAGTCAGAGCAAAAGCTCGTATACAGGTTCTCCACCTGTTCAATTTTTTGATAGTAAGCATTATAGTTAAGGTACATCGACGTAAGTTGAAACGGTACGTGTATCGCTTAGCGGAAATTAATATTCACTGTAAATATTTTTGAGAGGCTTTGTACTACCGCAAACTATTATATTAGAAATAATCTCAGTGATCATTCACTTCTGTTAAGAGATGCACCGAAAAAAATTGTTGAATATTACATCCAAACTGTTGCAACCAGGTCAATCCATCGGTTGTGTGATATAACGTTGTCGATATTGCGAACAAAATTACATCCATGGATGTAATATTGTATCTGCTTTTTGCTATTACATCATTATTTCATACATCAGCTTGAATTACATTCCCCACCGTTTCAACTTGCCGCCATGTACACAGTTCAAAAAAGTAGTGTAAATTTCTGTTTAGTATGATGCACATAAATGGAGCGTCACATATCATATAAGTTTACATTATATATCATGTAAAGTTCTGAGACATTTATTGCAATATAGCAAATATTGTACACAAAAGCCCATTGTTGTAAACAACATTGTTTACAAGTTGCTCGGTTGCGTGAAATGAAATACAAGTTTACGTGAATGAATGTTTACATCACAATTAAAATTCAGAATTTTTATCTGTGAATTCTTAAACTAATATCTATAATGTTTTGTTTATGTTATTTAGATAAATGTTTTACTCCTTTGATGCTGTGTTTATTCTGTGTATGCATTAGAATACAAATTCAGATGTTCTAAAGCTACTGTTTGTATTAACTTTTAGTTTAAGTCTAATGAACTCAAACGCAACATGTGAAAACAGTCATGAACGTCGATTTTTCACGGATTAAAGCTCATTCAGGTAAACCAACATCAGCATCTGGTAAACGAAATTTACTTTAACAGATTCTACTGTCGATTTGCCTGAATGAGTTTTAATCCACGTGTCATCGACGTTTAAGGTCATTGTTAACGTTTGGTTCATTGATTTTTTTCACATGTTGTGCCAGACTTCGCGTACACTAAATTGTGGATTTGGTTAAATCTGTAATGTAAATTCCTTTTCCTTTAGCGATTAGACGGAACATTCAGTAGACAGCTGAAAATGACGTCTCATTACAATTTTAAATGTCAACAAACTTGAACGAGTAAAATTACAATTTTGCTTCATTTTACGTCAAGTAAAAATACTAACGGACCAAATTGTATATAATTTGAGTCTCTTACATGTGTTGGTATTAGGAGACTTAAAATTACATGAAGTTTTCGAAGTGTGTAGAATTGATTCACATTTCTTTCACATAGGGTACGGCAGCATTTCGGCATACCTCACTGCACTTCTGTACATCCCTGTTAAATCCGGCTTCCGACAGCACCGTCATTTTGTTTTTATAACATTCGTAATTTAACTCGTGAGCAAAGAATTTTATGCATAAATGTTGGACGTAACTGTTTGTCTTTATTGTGTTTTGAGGCGTATGACGGAAATAGGTCCCATATGCTGAAGTAGTGCTCCACCCTATCTGAATAATGGCGATACAAATTTTCATTATGCCACTTTTCATTTTGCATAAGCACACATTTTGGTGACATTTTGGTCATTGGAACTAGGTCCCACACAGCAAAAAAATAATTTTGATATCACATCAAAGTGGATGCACTACAATCATGTCGAAAATTTCATGTAATTTTTATGACCACATAAATAAACAAATGCAGTAAAGCAGCGTAATGTCAGTTCATGCATTGGATTAATGATAATTTTGTCCTTTTTAGCAAGTAATATTACACCATATTTTCGACATGATTGTAGTGCATCCACTTTGACGTGATATCAAAATTATTTTTTTGCTGTGCAGATTTTTTTCCCTTGATTTATTTTCCGTCTATATTGTTTTCTGTGCTGAGCACCAGTGCTACCGACGCCAGGGAGGCAGCTCCCACACCTGGACCCTACCTATCGACCCATCAACTCATGAACCGGGGACCAACGGCTTTACTTCCCTTCCGAAGAAAGGCGTGATCAGAGATGTTATGCCTCAGAACAACCCGGCGGCACCGACTGGGATTGAACCCAGGCCTGCGAGGGTGAGAGGTAAGCATGCTTACCACTACACCACAGGCACCACTGGTTTCCAGATTGTCTACCTGTAAAAAGGTCATATTCATGGATTTTAAATTCTCGCAATATGTCTTATTTCTTTTCATTTTAGGGGCTATTCATGATGTATATCAAACATTTTGGAGAGTTTTAATGCCCACGTCCTCATGGGAACATGAATGTTAGCCATATTATAAGAAAGTCATAATGGATGTTTGCCATAAGCCTGTAAATTCGTATAAACTAATTTATTTGGAATACGGATTGTCTGTTTGTCTCACGGCACACAGAGGAGTAATTAGGACAAAAACCTGGCCAAAATTATGAACTGCTGTTTTTAGGGATATTAGGCATGGAAACAATGTTAAAGAGTAGCTTTTATTGATTTAGAGTCAAATTGTAAAAATACAAAAACCAAATTTATTTATAGAAAATTGACAAACTTCCTCTAAACTGATGTAGAACATACGGTTTCCGAAAGGCTCGCAAACGCCAACCCGGGCGAGTCCAGATGAGTTCTCACCACTAATGAGTTTATGCTAACTTGAAGATTCATTTGTTCATAGATTATATAATCGAATCACGCAGAATTTGAATACTTTGTTTACAATGAAAAAATACAAAAATACTTAAACATCATATGTTGTCAAACTTTTTTAAAGTTAAAACAATAAAATATTCTTTGACTATATGTTTTTAGTATTACTTCTACGTGAAGTCAACGATTTACATAGTTGAAGATGCTAATTTCAAATAACAGACTGTAGTGGTAATTTTTATTCGACAGATGGAGTAGATGAAAGCATAGAGTTGATAGTTCCGTTAGAGTACTGCAGTGTGAAGATTGAATATAGATATTAGAAGAGCGAGCTAGAACAACTTTTAAGGAAGGTACAAATCGGTTTTTTCATCTCTCTTTACCAAACTCCCCCTTTGGAGAGGGATGGTGAGGGGTGTCCCCCCCCCGCCACCACTAGCTCGCTCTTCTAATATCTATATACAATCTTCACACTGCAGTACTCTAACGGAACTATCAACTCTATGCTCAACTAAATAAAATATTGTTTATTGTTTATTGTTTATTGTTTATTGTTTATTGTTTATTGTTTATTGTTTATTATTGTTTTACATCAACAGGCTGGATGAAGCCCCAATGATTTTAACCTTATCAACTATGGTAAAAAAAATACATTCAAGCATGGTCATAACATAAAAAACATTAAAAACATATATCTTATAGTCAGTTACTCCTGCCGGCGAAAAACAGAAGAAAACTTTCGACGAAGCGCATCACGGGAGATATGAAAGTCGAAAACAGATGCAACTCTGTTGAATGTTCTCTGCAGTCCGCAAATCTCACCGTACGCTCCCTATAATTTGTGCGACGTAGAGGCAGTCTTAGCATAAGGTTATTACGAAGCGGTCGGGGTTGAACATTCAGGTCAATTTCCCTCAGGATAGCCTCACAATCTGTCCTTCCTTACGGCTTTCGTAACTGGGTAATCGAAACGGATCATTTCAAGGCAATCTACGCAACGCAAAACGAAGAAAGCGATGTTGAACAGATTCAATTCTCTCGGCACCGTTGTTGTAGTTTGGGTTCCAAACCGCTGAACAATACTCAAGCGTCGATCGAACAAGCGAACAATAGAGAGATTTTAGACAGTAGATATCAGTGAAGTTTTTAGCTATCCTAAAAATGAACCCTAAAGTTCTTGACGCCTTATCATCAACATATGCAATGTGTTGCTTGAATGAAAGCTGCGAATCCAAGATCACACCCAAGTCTTTCACTTGATTAACGCGTTCGATTGTCGAGCCAAGCAGGTCATAGCTAAATATTATTGATTGTTGTTTTAGTGAGAACGTAATAGCGGAGCATTTGGCTGGGTACACTACCATTCTGTTTAACCTGCACCAACTAGCGAATACATTCAGTTGACGTTGAAGAAAGTGACAGTCAGCAATGGAGCAGATTCGTAGGAAGATTTTGTCGTCATCTGTATATGATAACCGAGGAGCTTCGATGACCAGATGCACGTCGTTGAAGTACAGTATACAAATTAACGGTCCCATGTGGCTTCCCTGAGGTATACCTGATGTGGCGAAGAAGCTAGCTGATCTGCAATCTTCTAAGGCAACTTTCAGTTGCCGACCAGTAAGATATGATCGAAACCAACTCAGAAGATTACCGCATACACCGAGCCTGCCGAGTTTAGCAATCGCAATAGCATGGTTCAACTTGTCGAATGCTGCGGATAGGTCTGAATAAATAACGTCCGTTTGAACCCGATCCGACATGTTTTCGGTTATATACGATGTGAGACACAGCAGATTGGTAGTTGTAGAGCGGCCAACAGTTAACCCATGTTGATCAGCACTCAAATACTGCTTGCTATGGGACAGCAACGGTTCCATAATCACTAGCTCGAAAAGCTTCGAAACGGCACTTAACGATGTAATTCCTCGATAGTTATCCACAGCTCGTTTCCTTCCTTTTTTGTGGACGGGAAACATGTGCGCAAATTTCCAGCAAGATGGAAATATGCCACCTGAGAGAGACATTCGGAACAGGCGAAGAAGCGGAATTAACAAGATAGCAATATGTCTCTTCAAAAATACAGATGGAACTCCATCAGGTCCAGGATTAAAGGATGACTTGAGCAGAGTCGTTGCCTTAGAAATCATTTCTGCATTAACATCAATTGCACCCAGCGTTTTATCGTTTACTGGAACGTTCCTGGCAGCCTGGTTAATATGGTCGTCAATTAGTATCTCATTAGTGAATACACTGGCAAACTTTTCGGAAAAAAAGGTGGCATATATCCTGAACAGTGGCAGCAACTTCTCCGTTGAATTCCATAGACGATGGGAGGCCGGATTCCCTGCGTTGCTCGTTCACGTAGTTCCAAAAGGATTTCGAGTGTAGCTTAAGTTTGCGCTGGATGCCTCGTTGGAAACTTGAAAAGCATTCACGACTGACTCGCTGGTACATGTGATTCAGCCTCACATAAAGTAGTTTTAGAGGAAGCGTGCGATACTTCGTAAATCTTCTCAATGCTGCTCTCATGATTGACTTCAACCTACGTAGCTCTCTCGTCTGCCAGGGAGGGTGAGACACTTTGTGGTGAGTTCTTTTCGGGACGTGTCTGTCAATGACATGTGAAAAGGTTTGCGCTGCAGCCTCAACGTCATCTGGATCAAGGATGTTCTCCCATACCATGCTAGACAATACATCTATGATGCTACGGTGGTCAGCTTTACGGGAGTCATAAGAAACCGTAGCAGTATAGTTGTCGAAATCACGCACGAGTTTGTCCTCAACAGTGACAATTAGAGGAGGGTGATGTGGAACTAGCTTAGTTAGTGCACAAGAAGCCCAGGAAATTGATGGAGCCCTGTCCTGTGTGCTCACGAAGCAGAGGTCCAAACTACGACCATTTTCGTTAACTACATGGTTAATTTGAGAAAGCGTCGCTGCGCTGTAGTTGTCGAGAAGGCTAATAGCTCCTGCGTGAAATGTAGAGCTATCAGGATCTGGGTACAGGAATCCGCTATGAGATGGACTCCACGAAACGCCTGGCAGATTGAAGTCACCAAAAATGAATATCTCATCAACTGGAGTGGCACTTTCGACAACTGTGAAAACTGACAGACAGTGAGTATCGATGAGTTTATTGTCGCGGGCTCTGATCAGGTGGAATGTACAGAGCGCATAGAAATAGTGTGCGATCACCCAGATTGATGGCTGTCCAAACCTGCTCCACATAGTTCCATGAATCGTTCTCGATGGCCTTTGCCTCCAACCCGCTACGGACAGCTACAAGGACACCTCCACCAGTAGATTTACGGCTGTTGTTAGGATTCCGATCGCAACGAAAGACCTCGTATTCAGGACCGAAGACTTGACTGGAAAGCGTTAGATAATCGAACCACGTTCCACACAGGACAATAATATCGTAGCAACGATCCGATACAGCTAGGCGGTACTCTTCAACATCAGAATTCATTCCACCGGCGTTTTGGTAGAAGATCACGACGTCCTGCTTGCGGCAAGGAATCGAACGACTGCTCTCCCTAGAAATCACAGATACATCAGGCAATAACTGACCATCATCAAGTCTAATTGGATACTCGCCATAGTGAGTGGGTTGGAAGACCCCCTCTCCACATCCGACAGCAGGTCCGGAACGACTATGATGAACGAAGGCTGCTGATGGCACACCCAACCGGTGGATGTAAGATTCGCTTACAATTATGTGGGATTCATCATCAGAGGATGTAAGTGTAAGTGCATGGATGCATGAACCGAGGAAGCGATATACCTAGCTGCGGTCCAATGCAAGAGAATTGGAGACCGAAAAATGTGGAGTGTATTAGTGAGGTAAATTAATTATGTAAAAAAAAAAAAAATAGGAAAAAGGTTGCCGACTGGACTCGAACAACGAACGTTGCGATTATCAGACCTATGCTTTCTCCACTGCTCTCTCCATGCTTCTGAAGAAGGATAGCCTAAAAGCAAACAAGAAGCGCTCATTTCCTCTCACACTCGACTTCGTATGCTTTTTCTGCTGGAGAGATTCGAGGCAAGGGTGTGCGTCGTTCTACCATGTCATACATAAAAATCAATGCAAATGCTTGCTTGTGTAGGTGAAAGCACAGACAGAACACGAAATAAAAAAGGCAAAAAACCATTACATCGCCTGCAAGGTCAACTTCTAACATTCGCTGCGATGTTCATGAACAGAGGATGATAGGAAATGGAACTAACATTCATTGTAATAGATTTTTGGTTTGCGTGCAGGACTGAGACGGAGGGATTGGGGGCCTCCATGAGGCTTTCTACGGTGCGTTCCGGGTTTCCAGGATTGGGAGTTACAGAGGCATCATCACAATGACTAACATAGTCAGAATTGCTGAAAATTTGATCGGCATCAGGCAGTGAATAGTCAATATATTGATTGTACTTGCTTGTAGAGGCAAGGTGGAAGACTCCTGATTCATATCCAGCCACAGGTCCAGGACGACTATGTTGAACGCTGGTGGGAATCGGCACGACTGGGCTGGAGTAACCAGGAGCTTCCAAATAGCGGTCTATTTTGCGTCCCGGAGATGAATTAGGATTGTTCGAACAGTAAAGCGGATGTTGTGAATGAGCAGTATCAGAAGTGCTTCTCAACTGGAAACAGCCGGCAGGTGCTTGAAGCGTTGCACTGGAACACGGAAACTGATCAGGCAAATGACTGTAACTAATGTATGCATATTTGCCTGAAGACGATGCTTGGGAGACCCCACCACCGAACTCGACCGTAGGGCCAGCGCGACTGGATCGAGTGGTTCGAGACCTCCCATAATGCGACAGGCATTGCGTTCTGGTCTACAGCGCTCCGATTCACAACGCAAAATCCAATTCTGAATCAGCAGACTGGGTCTAGTCCGGAAATGGGAGTTGAGAACTCGGAAGGTCCCGTAATAGGAGAGATCGTGATGGCAGGCGTGTTCAAACGAGGCAACAACATGTTTTTTGAACCGTCTTCAAATTCACGGAACAAAATTCCTTTCGGCCATGTATCCGATCTAAGAGCAGCTTCGCGTAGTTTGGGATCCATTCCGACTTTGTACGAGATGAAGCTCATACGGCTGATGTCGGATCCTTTTTTGACTAGCGGCACAACCTTAATCGGATCTTCGCACTGTACACAACCTTTCACCAGCTTCTCGGTTGATTCCGATTTCACGCTAGGATGAATACGAGAAAGGTACAGCCAAAACAACTCGGTGGGTTCAGGGTCAGTGACGACCTCGGTAAAGGCATTGTCGTCTGTTACTGCTTTAGAACCACCAACAAGTGGTTTGCTAGTGAGCGAGCCTTCATCGCGGCACCGTTTTAATGGCGGTTGACGCATGAAATCAGAGTTTGTCGGAGTTGTCAATGCGATTCGTTTCGATAGCTGAGCGATCTGCTGTTCTTGCTTAGCCATTTCCTTCCTAAGCTCAGCGTGTGCGATTTCCTGTCTCTCGGTGATAGAATTAATCACACTGCCAAACGACGAAACGGCAGTTTTGAACCGAGCACATTTCATCAGCTTCGCGCACTCGTTACACATCCAAAACAGGTTCGGGCTAGTGTGGACAATGTTCAGAAAAGCCTTATTCAGCTTTGTGCCGCCGCACTTTAGGTGACTCATCCTGTCGCAAAAAGCCATGCAGGAGACGGATTCTTCATCGCCTTTAACTGGCTTAGCGCATTGGTTTTGGAGACCATTATCCTAGTTGGCATTGAATAGAAGGAACTCATTTTCTGAAAAATATTGACCATCGATCATTTTATTTACGCTGGTAAGAGCTGTTACTAAATAATAAGTTTTTGAAAAAAAAGTAGCTCTAAAGTATGTCAATGTTCAAACATCATTTAACGTATTTCAACCATTGTCTCCTTGAGCAGCATATATGTAAGTAGCTATATAACAAAAATAAAATAACATAGATATATAAAAAAGTGTTTTCTTATTTGGCCAGCTTTTTGTTCTAGGTACTCCTCTGTGGGACTTCATGGTTTACCCTTATTTTGTGTGTTTTAAGAAAAAATGAGGAAAGAAGTGGATACATCATCTAGACTCTAGATCCTAGAGCAATGAAGAACATTTCAATAAATGGAATAAAGAACCAAAAAAATCAATAACAAATATTACGAACTAGCAATCCATTATTTGCTGATACCCCATATAAATCCATTTTCCAGCAATACGTGTAATCAATCAAATTTGTGTACTAATGGATAATCACTATTACTTTTATTCATTTCTATGTCATTTCTCCGGTTGACCTATTACTCTAGTAGTGGTAAATTCCTACCGGTATTATCCTCGGATTAAATCAAAACCAAGAAAGTCCAGCTACTTTGACATCGACATCAGAGATAATCGATACGATTCTAAGCAAACATTTAGTAGATCATCCTAACAGGGACGGTATTAAAAGTTAATCTGTGTTGAAGCTTACCGCCATAAGCCTGGTATGCAGCTGAAAAGTAATGACGTTTTTAAGCCTAGTACGCAGCTGAAAAATAATGACGTTTATACGTGCTACGGGATAGGACACGGAATGCTAAAGAAATTACTTTTCCTTAGCATTTCTTAACCCAGTGTGCAGTTCAAAAGAAATCGGTAAAGGAAAGATCGATTACATTAGTATCGTGATCGACATGAAGGTGGCGCATTCTGAATGCAATTTAACTTTCCTTGCGGAATAACGGTCTGATCAATTATTCCGTTAGGTAATTTTAACGTTTGTTGTAAAAATTATGTTTTTGATGCATTTTAACAACATAAAAACTGATAAATGTTGATTTTAAAATCAGACGACACCTCCCTATGATCTCAAAATTTAGCAAAAGACACCTCCCTATAGCTGTCAAATTTACTTTACAAAAATTACTTTTCCGTTTTCTTTTCAGCTGCGTACCAGGATTAAGCTGCGTATCAGGCTTTAGATGTTATAACCACAGACAAACAGACATAACGCATTGATTACGTATCACTGTAAAGCATCGTTACTAAAACACTACAGCCATCTGTTGAGTACACTGTCATGGGCAGTACGTTCAACACATGGGGTACACAGCAAAAAATAAATTTTAATATTACATCCAAGAGCATGCACTTCAATCATGTTGAAAATCTCATGTAATTTTTATGGCCACAAAAATAAACAAATGCAGTAAAAGCAGCGCAAAGTCAGTTCATGCACTGCATTAATGATAATTTTGTCCTTTTTGACTATCACGCAGAAAAATGGATTTTTGTTTCAGGGCCTAATGTATTTTGTTATTGAATCAAACATATTGTATCACTTTTTCAACAAAACATATTTTTGAATCAACAAACTGGTTTTTAGAATCAACAAACAGAGTATTGACTCTACAACCGGTTTGTTGATTCAAAAATATTTTTCTTTGAGTTAACCGAATAATATATTTGAATCAATACCAAAAATATATTAGGCCCTGAGCCAAAAATATATCCATTTGAATTTAAAAAGCATTCTCTGCGTGTAGTAATATTACATAATATTTTTGACACGATTGAAGTGCATCCACTTTGATGTGATATCAAAATTATGTTTTTGCTGTGTAGTGTGTAAACATCAATGCAAGGGAACTGACTATGCGTGCCACAACGGCGGTACTTCCAACTTAGAAAAAATAAATTGATGCATGTTCGATGAAAAATATTCTAGTGTTATGTCTATCTGTTTGTGTTATAACTTCAAAAGGTTCATTACATCGGTATCTAAATTCCCAGTTGGATGGTAGAACTTTTCAACTCCAAGATAGAAATGGTGTGATTATTTTAGTTGGATTTATCAAAAAAAAATTTTTGTGTCAAAGAACAGCTCATAACACAAACAAGGAGTCAACAGTCAACTCCAGTGACAAATAAATTTCTGATCATAAACGGTTGTTTTTTTTTTTAATTTAACCTGCCAAAAGTTTTAGAAAAAAATATCTTTTAAAGAACAGCTTATTATAAAAAGGAAGAATATACTCCAAAAGAGAAACAGTTTTTTAGCATTTACGGTTTGAGTTTTTTGAAACTTTTACTTGTCAATGAATAGTAAAGAAGTCAACTCAAAGTAATAAATGATTTTTGTGCATTTCAGTTGGAGTTTTTGAAAAAAAAAGAAGCTCATATAAAGAAGATGCCGAGAGAGCATTTAGGATTGATTTTTGTAAACTGTTACCTCTGTCAAAGAATAGGTCATGACATAAAGAATTATTTAACTCCAAGAGCGAAATAGTTTGATTATTTCAGTTCGATTTTTTTAATGATTTCTCCTGTCATAGAAGAATTTAACTACAAGAGGAATACTTATTGAGTATTCTTTTAAAACTTTTACCTGTCAAAGAACGGCTCATGATACAAAGAAGGAGTCAACTAAAGGTGATAAATGATTTGTGAGTGTTTCAAATGGATTTTTCATCAGCTTTTATATGCCAAAGAATAGCTCATGATGTAAAGAAGGATTCAACTCCAAGAGAGAAATAACTTACTCCGTTATAATTGCTTACCTTTTGACAGATACGAGTATTTTGTCGATTACTTATAGACTTCATCAGTGCCAAGTAATAAACTCCACAGTGGTGTTGAGGTATCTGTCAAAAAATAAGCAATTATAACGGAATTAAAAGGATATAAACCAACACACTCAAAAGCTCTTCATAATGGGAATCGTTAAGAGGTTCGACAAATTTAATAGATTGGTTATAACTGTTTGCACAGAATTTGGAACGATTTGCGGTCTTCAACAAAGTTGTTTTGCATAGCTAGCTTATTTAATATAAGAAAAACTGTGCAAGGCGAGAATTTTTGACCAAAAACATTAATTATTTGTTTCCGTGTCCGATTCATTCTGGTTATTTGAGTCGATTGTTAACTTTCAATCCGCAATGCATTGTATGCATTATTTCTTGATTCGACTAAACTGTTCAATAGTGAACAAATAACCGAACACCTCATCCTTGCATCAGATTATTCGTAGCGAGCAGCGTAACAGGTGATAAAGTTATTTTTTACTGTTAATGTCCTTTCTGGTTAATCTTAAACTATCACACCACACCACACCATGCAAGCATGCGCGTTGTGTAAACAACGAAATGTGGGAGTCAGAATGCGTTAACAGTAATGATGTCACGATTTAAATTGCTAATCTTAATCCATCGAAACTGTCACAACCTCGCGCGCGCCTGACGCATGGTATTTATTCGCCAATAAGTTAGTAGGTGTGTGTGCTGATCGCTTAAATGTGAATGGTTTTTACAAACTCTGATCAATCATTCATAATTCAGTTTATCAGTAGACCAAGAAAGTAAGTAAAACAACATTTAAATTGGCCTGCTTTTTTGCTTAATAATTTCAATACCGATGAAAATAATAATGCATTCCATTGGATGAATGAAGACACAGTCAGGAATTTTACGAATGATTCTACTCACCCAATTTGCGCGTGACGATGATTCAAATAAAACAAAAAGCGCAAACACACCGAAATAAATTGAACCGTCGTCGATTCGATTCTGGCTCACGAATCGTTATCGCAAAATTATGAAAATCAAGTTGCCTCGGTCGATTTGCCAACATCGTGGAACGTCTCAGTAGTACACTCGGGTTTGAAAACGTTAGAATAGCTTCCCTCGCTCTCGTGTTTCGTAGATGCTTGACAATTGATAATGTTGAAAACTGGAGTCAATTTTTTAGTGAAAGATGAATGAAATGCATACGAAGGGATTGTTTATGGATGTTCGATAGTAAATCTGCAGTCATTAACCTACTGGTGTGTAAACTTAATAGTGAAC